ACCTAGCGGTTAGAGATTAACCACAGGTAGTGGCTACAGATAAAATTGCCACCTCTGTCCTTAGTGTTCCTCACCTTTTTGACTTCAGAGCATTTTGTGACCAAGTGGCATTGCCTGTATTTTAGGTTGGGTTCAAAGTAAGGGGAAAGATACACTGAGGATTTTGAATCGAAGAAAAGTATCTCATTGAAATTTTTTAGATGTAAAAAGTATTCCAATTTCCACAGTTTTGGACTGCAGGCAGTTTGAACGAATTTTTGCCTCATGAAAGGTAAAAACTCTGCAAAGTGGCTGAGTAGCCAGTCCTGGAATGTTTTCCTTGTTGAATGGCTAGCTGCTGCTTTTATGCGAAGCATAGGATAATACTCAAGAGTGCATTTTTAGTAATAAACTGGAGATAACCAAGTACTGGCGTCAGGAGTATTCCCTCAGGTGTCGCTGGGTTCACAGCCATTCGCATCACTGGATGGCTTTTCTGGTGGGATCCCTGGTTGACATCATTTTCAGCCAGAGCAGTCTGTTTCACATTCTGCTGCCAAACTCTAACAATCTTTTGAAGACTAGTACTAAGAGAAGAGAGACACGAACACTAGTTTAATTGTCCTGCATTGATTTTGACAGATACTAAGACCTGGCTTACTCTACCAAATGAAGAGTGACAGTTAAAGACAGGTTCTGTCATTACCTATAGTTTTGCATATTTAGGGGTATCTTTTTCGTTTCTGTTTTGTGGCTGGAACTGCTGCTTCCTAGGAAGCAGGCATAAGATTCTTCCTTGTTCATTGAAGTGTGAAAGACCGACAAATTCTAACCAAAAATAAAACCAAAACTCATCAGTCTCTACTATTTCTTTAGCAAATCCAGGTTAGGATGATAGGCAGAGCTAATATTGATAATAGAGAAGAAAGAGAAACAGGATGGACTCTCAGAGCCTGCCATACTGTTATCCTCTTTGTGGATCAGGCCTGGTCCTCATACCATTTCTAACATTCTTTCTTTTTTAAAATTTATTTTTTTAATGGAATACTTTATGAATTTGCATGTCATCCTTGCACAGGGGCCATGCTAATCTTCTCTGTGTCATTCCAATTTTTTAGTATATGTTCTGCTGAAGTGAGCACTGATACTATTAAAAAAAAAAAACCCCTTTGGTCTGAATCTGTTTTTTCCTCCCTTCTAAAATGGAGGAAACCTGATTTCAAAGAGTTGTGTACCTGAAACCTACCAATTTACTGTTAACATTATGTTTAACTTTGCTATCTCCTTCTGGTGCTAATTTGCGAGAGAAAGAATCAGACACTGTCCTACTTGTTTCCCCTTAGTTGTAAGCAATGAAACTCTCCTAAAAAAACATTAACACATTGACCCCCATACTAGAAAAAAATTTTTTTCCTTGAACCATGGTGTTTTATTACGAAAATAGAATAAAAACTTCAAAAACGAAACGGTCCTTTTTAATTTAATGAAAAATTTGTTATTTTTTATTGTGTTCTGTGCTTGAGTTATATACAACTCACAGGGCAATCAGAAGTTATGGTAATCGGAGAACACAGTCCAGCACTGTGGCACGCTTGGGCGGGCAGGCTGGAGCCGGGGGACAGGAGGTTGGGGAGACATGCTGATGGACAAGGAAAACAATGAGCAGAGGTTTCACAGCATACAGGCATGCTGTGGACCTTCCCACCTAGCCACCAGTTCTACTTTAGTATAGCTTCTGTGACCAGAGGTGTGATCATCACCTAAGTTTATTTTGTGTTTTTCATTCTCAAGAGGAAATGTCTAGAGAAAATTAGCATAAGGAATTGTTGGAGGAAACGATGAATGAAGTTTTGGACATGAGTGATGAAGATGTTGATCTATTTAGTGATGTTTCAGAGGAGCATCGTCCTAGTGGAGATAGTGGGGACAGTTCTGATAGTTCTGATGTGTGAGTTACATATGCTTCACGAGGCCCTGGGCTCAAAACTAGCGTGAGTTAAATACAACTTACATGGCAGTCAATGTGTTAAAAGTGTTATATTTTCTTTTATGGGGAAAATAAGAGAAAGACTGAGACTGTTGGACACTTTGCTAGGAGAAGAAAAGTTTTGATTAGAGGTCATCATGTGGTAGATAGCAGCATAGTTAATGGAAGCAGACAGGCCACACCTATTGGAGGAAATAGTTTGGAAGTGGGGGATAAATGGAGCTGGCTCTTGGAAGGAAAGTGTTCGCAGGGGAATGTAATGTCATGTGACCCTAGTCCATTTGGCTCATTGTGTGTCAGCTTCTGAGGCACTGTTCTTATTTCTCCTTTACATTTCTCATTTCTTTTTCTCTTACCCTTTCTAACATTAATACCTAACATTAAGAATGATACAACAAAGGGCACATGTGTTCTGGGCCTCTCTAAGTAGAAATGAAATGCTTCCATGAAGTTATATTTATATATGGTCATTTTATAATACTTTGAATATAATAGGCTGAGTCTCTAGCAGAATTCTGTTCCTTTCAATCATTGGTTGTTAGAAGTACTAGAGAGCAGGCAACCCAAATAACCTCTGGCTCATTCCAGATGCTTTCCCCAGAGGTTCAGCCTCTCTAGGCACAGTCTGCTTTCCAAATTACAGCAGGTCACAGTTAAATCAAATATTTTAATACAGCATAAAAAGAGTCAATTGATTTTCAAACTCCAGTATTGTGTCTCATGGCCTGATCGCCAAGCCACTTGTTTTAATTTTTTGTTATGGCAGTTCCTACTCTTGATGCCAGTTTCTATATTAAATAGGGCATGAGTTAAACTGCTATAACATAGACTCCCAAATACAGCTGTAGCTTAAATAAAACACATTAATCTTTCTTTCGTGTAATAGTCTTGAGAGAGGAGAGTTCTAGGCGGATGAAGTATCTGCTCCATGTGGTTGTTTATGGACCCAGGTTTCTTCTGTCTTGTGGGAACATCCCCTGGAGTGTTGCCCTCATTGTCATCATCGCAGATGGGTTTCTGTTGTGTCTTTTCCTGTCTATCCGAAAGGAGACTATAATTTAGTTCAGAGCAGATCACTTCCTTTTAGGTGATGGAGAAGGTATAGTCACTTCTGGTCATATTCTATTGGTGAAATCTTGCCATGCTTAGCTGAAAAAAAGGTTGAGAAATAAAGTCTCTAGCTGAGCAGTTATGTGCCTACTAAAACCTGCCAATATAGAGAAAGAAGAGTATGGAATTTGTCTTTCATCTATTTTCTACGCGTTTATGTATCTTATCATGTTCATCTTTGGAGTTCATTACATATTCTGGATTTGAATACCTTTTTTGGGATGCAAATTATCTTCATTTTCTCTAATCCGTGACATTTTCATTTTGTTCATGAGGTCTTTTGCCATATAAAAATTTGAAATTTCGTTTTATGATCCTTATTGATACAAACTTACATATTTACAGATTTGATTCTAGGTGCTCTATCAATTTTGTCTCTAGGGATAGACAGGACACTTTGATAGGCCTCACAAGCAGTTAATTTATGGTCAGCTTTTCTATTTGAATTTTAAAAAAGGGAAAAGAAACATTATTTTAAATATGAAAACCAAAACCATCTGTTCAATGCTCCATGTCTCGTTGAATTTATGATTTGATAGCATTTACAATTATTTATAGTTTTTCTAACTAATTATCAAAATTGTTCATTTTTCAAAATACTTTCTTAAAATTTATTTTGAGTCTAGAAGATAGTCACAAAAATAGGGAAGTCAGATGGAAGGGCTGATCTGAGAGATAGCTAGTTTGGTGTGAAATTGAATGTTCAAACTGCTAGATATGTCTAGAATGCAGTAAAAATGTGGTCCGGACCTCAGGAGAGGAGTTAGTGCTAGAGATGTTGACTTAAAAATCATTAAGTCCAGAGCAGATTGTTGAAACGTGGTCTTCAAAGAACAGCATTAAAGGACACAGAAGGTTGTATCTATATTTAGAGTTCTAAAAGAAATCAACCGAAGAGAATGATATTAGCAATCTCATGAGATATATGGTAGTTTTCTAATTTTCTAGGTGAGTAAAACAGATGACTTTCACATAATGTTGAAAGCTGGTAGATGGTAGAACTAGTGCTTGATACCAGGTCTTTATTTACTCCAAAGCCTATATTCATCTGTTAAATCTCCCTGCATTTACAAGATGGAAGAGCATTTCACCATGGAGGGGGTAGTCCTAGTGTAAAATGAATTTTTAGGATATTTGAAGGCTTTTGAGTGGCCCCTGGATCGTTAATTGTGTTGCCATCAGTGTTGTTGGCGAGAACTATTACTATAATAGGAGGATAGATACATGTTAAAAAGGGTTAGTTGAGGGGGAATGAAATGGAATTTTGTTACTCGAAGTGCCATTTCATGAAGTTTGGTGGTAAAAGGAGGGAAAGACAGAAGAGGAGCTTGAAGGACTTAAAATTTTGTTTGTTTGGGGATGATAGTGCAGAAAGGTCTAAATAAATTTCAAGTTAGAAAAGAAGAATCCAGCCAAGAGTATAGAATTGCATCAGGAGCACCGGTGGAGGGCTAGTGTCCCTTCATTTTAGTACTGTAGTGTTGAAGATAGAATCGACGTACCATTTTTTTTTTTTAAAGAGAAGAATGATGTTAAGGGCGATGGCATTTGAAAATCCTGTCAGCAGTTAGGTTGCTTCCTGAGAAAGTATGTATACGGTGTTTGACATTTGTTCTATAGATGGACTGCTATAATCCTGAAAATAAGATTCTTAATAGTTACTACTAGATGCAACTTCTCCGAGCCTGTTGTAATTTGGGCACAGGGAAAAGTATACCATGCTTCATGTTGTTTTGATTATCATTTTGTGGTAGAGAATGAGTATGAATAATACCATCAATTATATACACAAACATTTCCTGTATCAGCGAACTGTTATTTGTTTGATTTTTTCCATTATGATGTATGCTTTATAGATGAATTCACCAATGATGAATATAGACACAAAATGACTATTTATATTCTCTTATTTACTGTTAAGCAGAAATCAAAGAACAGTCTGCAGAAGAGGATGCTGAAGCAGAAGTGGATAACAGCAAACAGCCAGTCCCAGCTCTGCACCAATCTGTGTCTGAGGAATCTGCACACTCCCTGGTCTCTGTTGGTGTAGAAGCCAAAATCAGGTTAGAGAATGAATGCAGCTGGATTGGATGTTAGTTACAGGAAAAAAGGCCGTGAATTGACTATAGAGAAAATTCAGGGAATACAAATTTAGGATATAAATCTGGATGGAATCTTACTATTTAGTACCTTTAAATTTAAGGCTGATGCCTCTGTGTGTAGTTCAGTGAGCACCTCTGTGGGCTTAGGCAATTACAGAGCAGGGCAGTATGCTAGAGTTTTACTCTAGTCATTTTAGGCCAGTACAGAATATTACCAGTATGTTATTCCTGGCAGAAGAAATAACTATGAACATTTAGGAGAAGCATTAATTTATAATACTATCTGTAAACTTAAGTTTGTATTTTAGTACCTTACTCTCTCCCCATTCTTTAAAAAAAAAGAAATACAGGACATTGCAGCCTACATCAGTGTATAATTAAGCTTTTAAAGTCTTACAGTTTTTAGACCTTATTTGAGAGAGATGGATAAAACTATGAAATTATCAATCAGTTGAATACTCCCATCCTCTTGAGGTGTTTTTTCCTTTTGCTTGTGGCATATGTCATCCTTCATTTTCTCTTTCCCTGGCTACTGTGGAGATTCTCCACTTTTATAGTGTTGGCTTCCTCAGGGCCGAGTCCTAAGATACCATGTCTACTTTTTGTCTCTGTCCACTCCCTGGCAAAGAAAGCTCATTCAGTCTGATAGCTGTAAACTGTGTGTGTGTCCCTAGGAGTCTCAGTGCTCGTCTTTACCTGAACTCAAGACTTTCATGTCCATCTATCTGCTTGACATCTTTTTGTGGGAAGTGCCTTAGACACTGCACCCTTAACGAACGTGTCCAGCACCTCTCTGGATTCTGCCTCCATTCTATCCCAAATCTGCTTCTCTCCAGAGTTTTCCCATTTCAGTAAATAATGCTAATATTTTCCCCATGGCTTAGTCCAAAAGCTTTGGAGTTAATTCTTGTTTTCTATTTTTTCTCCTCCTTCGTACCTCAACTTCCGAAGATGAACTTCTTCTCATCTTGGTTCAAGTCACTGTTATCCTTTGGAGGCTGTAGTAGCCTTTTAACTAGTCTTTCTGTTTCTTCTCTTTACTATTCCATAGTCTAATTTGTTCATAGCACAGTTGCAAATATTATTCTAATAATAAGGATAATCAGTTCTCCCCCAACATTCTCTTTATTGGCTATTACATTTAAATTATATTTATAATTTCAAGTACTTACCATGTCTACAAGGCATGATCTGGCCCTGGCTGCCCCTCCGACGTCATTTGTCACATACAGTGCTCTCACCACATTGACCTCACTCCTACACACACTGATCAGGTTTCTGTCTGAGGGGCTTCCAGCTTGCTTTATTGTCAAATGGCTCACCTCCCAGATTCCCTCCTAATCACCTGCTGATACTCTTATCCTCTGAACTGTCATGACTAACCTGGTTTTGGTCAGCTCAGGGAAAAGAACATACAATGTGAATCTAGATAAAGGGTACACAAGTGTTTGTTATACTGTAGTCTTCCCTCCCCCAATATTTTTTGGGAGGTTTGAACATTTTCAAAATAAAAGAATAGGATGGAAAATAAATGAAACAGCAGTCCCCACTGTATTTTATACAGTAATCCTGCTTTGCTTTTCGTTGTGACACTTACTATTTCCTGAGAGTTCATTTGATGATTTTATCTTGCTTACTGCCGTGAGCTCTGTGAGAGCAGGCTGTGGTCAGCTTTGCACATTGCTCTATCTCTTGCACTTGATAGTCCCCAACAGAGATTAGGTGTTGTATAAATATTCTTGAATGAATAATGAATAAAGCCTTCAATTTCAAATAATAAAAAAAAATTGACATTTTTCTTAAGAGTCCTTCAAAATTGTCTTTTTAAATACAAAATAAGCTGGACTTAAAAATAAGTTATGAATCCAGAATTAGAATTAATTTAAAATTCTGTTTGAATAGAATTTAAAATTCTGCTTAAATTCTAACTTAAAATTCGAAAATGCTGCTTATAGTTCGATTGATACTACCATAAACTTGACTTTTCTTTAAATTTTACTGTTTTATCCATGACAGAAATTAGAGATGGTAATGCATATGTGGAAGTGAGAATATTTAGTAGTTGATAGCAGGCATCTGAGAGCCTTCTGAGTATTCTGTGTCTCTGTATGCAGACCTGTTTGTGAAACCTATTGTAGTTCTTGACCTCCTTGCTTGATTCTTCTGCAGATCTTAAGGATGGGCTATGTCTGACTGACTTATCTTTGTGTCCCCTGTGACTAGCACAGTGACTATCACTTAATTGGTGCTCATGAAATACTTGTAGAAAGAGTGACAGTTAAAAGCTATTCATGAACATATAAAAATTTATAATATATAGTAATAAACATGGCCTTTCAAAATAGTGGGAAAGAGTAGGTCACTCATTAATTGGCTATCCATTTAAAAAATAAAATTAGATTGGTACTTACACAATATAGAAAAAGACCTTTGCGTTGGATTAATAAACAGGGTCATTGTTATTTATTTATTCTGGACTATACTCCTGCCACCACTGTCATCTTTCGTTAGACAGGAAAGAGTGAGTGTGCTCTCTGACAGAGCCAGCATGCTGTGGATAAAGACTTAACTTTTAGTCTAGGTGCTGCCACTTTTTGGCCTTTATTTATTCATTTTTATCTCTCTGTACCTCAGTTTCCTTAAAATAGGATGTCTAGGTTGAATTTAATGAGTTCTAATGGTTCCATATCTAAAGTGTTCTAAAAGAATCTACTGATAATTAATTATAATAGTTAGTGGGATTTTAGCAAGATTGTAGATACAAAATTAAAATGCAGAAGTCACTTGCATTTTTATATGTCAGGAATAGAGGTTAAAAAGTATTTTTACTTTTTATATTGTTTTCTAATAATATAAAATAATATGTAACTAGGATTATGTGCAAAAATGTGAATAAGACCTTTATAGAAAAAAATTATAAAACTTTTTGGAAAGATATTAAAGAATAACAATATAAATATAATGTTTACATTTTAGGAGATGCAGTGTTTTAAGAGTATGCTTTCCCAGTTGATCTCTAGGTTCAATACAATCCTTATAAAAATGTCTACAGTAAACTTGACAAGCTGATTTAAAAAAAATTATATGAATATGCAAAAGGCAGGATAAACCAAGTTACCCATCAAGAAGAACAGAAAAAGATTGCTTTAGCTGGTACTAAGACTTTTCATAACATGCTAGTAAATTAAATCAGTGCTGTATTACCACAGGGACAGAAAAATAGATCAGTGGAACAGAACAGGGAACCCAGAAACAAATACATGAGTGCTATGGACAGGTAGTCCATAGTAGCATCATAAATTAGTGAGGAAGGATATTTCTTCCAATAACTGTACTGCGATGATATACTTAAAAAAATTTTGTTTTTTTTTTAAATTTTGAGACAGGGTCTTGCTCTTTTGCCCAGGCTGGAGTTCAGTGATATGATCACAGCTCACTGCAACTTCCAGCTCCCAGGTGCAATCAATTCTCCTGGCTTAGCCTTCAGAGTAGCTTGGTCTACAGGTGCAAACCACCACGTCTGGCTAAATTTTTTTTTTTTTTTTTAAATTTCTTATAGAGAGACAGGGTCTTGCTATGTTGCCCACACTGGTCTCAAACTCCTGGCCTCAAGAGATCTCCCATCTTGGCCTCCCGAAGGCACTGGGATTACATGTGTGAGCCACCACACCTGGTCTACCCCCCTCCCCCCCTTTTTTTTTTAAAAAAAGAAGGTAGACCCTTTAAATTTTTTTTTTTTTTTGTAGAGAAGGGGTCTCGCTGTTGCCCAGGCTGGTCTCGAACTTCTGGCCTCAAGTCATCTTCCCACCTCAGCCTCCCAGAGTGCTGGGATTACAGGCATGAGCCACCACACCTGGCCAAGAAGGTAGATCTTTATTCATGCCAACTCCATTTAATTTATAGACTTACATGTAAGAGGCCAACCAATAAAATTTTTAGAAGTTAATGTAGAAGAATTTCTTGATTACTTTGGGATAAGGAAAGACTTTTTAAAACAAATCAAAGGCACTAATTATTTAAAAAAGGATTGATTAATACCACAATATTTAAATTAAAAACTTCTTTTCATAAAAGATACCAAAACCAGAATGAAAGGATAAATGACAGAAAAGGGGAAAATATTTGCGAGACATATAACTGACCAAGGATTTGTGTCCATGTGTATTTAAAAATGAAACAAATCAATAAGAAAAAGCCAATTCAGTTGAAGCCAAAAAACTGCGGTAAACATTACTTGATTGTGATATTTTTTAAGCACAGTGTTGGATTTTAGTTAGCTTATATTTTGTTTATATTCATAAGCAATATGAATTTTTCTTATAATGTCCTAGTTTTGGAGACAAAATTATATTAGCCTTATGTGAGCCAGGCATCTTTGAATTTTATTTTATGGAAAAACTAGTTTAAGATGGAAATTAAGTCCATGCAAATTTGAAGTAATCGTCTTATAAAATTACCTGGGTCTGTGGGGTTTCTTTTGGAAGATGAACTCTTACTACAAGTTCAACTCAAAAAATTTTTTTCTCGGTGGGGCGCGGTGGCTCACGCCTGT